AAAGGCACCGTATGGTTTCTATGGAAATTTATGTAAACCAGGCTCAGAAAGGACAAGACAAAGCATTCTCGAATTAGGAACAGAATAGAAAAAATATATGATTGTAATTAGAACGTTGTCCTAGTCTGAAGGTTTTAGTTGTGGGAATGGAATTTGGGTGCGAGTCACTCTGACCTCGGCACATAGGCTTCAGCCAGACTCACTTCGATAAACAAGGCAGTCGTGGGGTTGACTCTTCACAGCCTGCCTTGGGCAGGATCAGTGTTAAGGTCCTCTGCAGGAAGGATGGGGAGAGAAGGTAGACTTCCCGGTGCTGGAGTCGGAAGCCGGGCCCTCTGCTGTCCAGCAACTGCCCCTTCCTGGAGTTTTATTGGCAGGGCCTTGCTGGGTGCCCGGACTAGGCTTGGGCTTGTGATCCCCCTGTGGCGCCCCCTCCTGCATGTCCACCCTGGAGATGGGGCTTCTGTCCCCTGTTCACCAGGGAGGAAGGTCAGGGTGAAGGGGAATGGTGGAGTAAGAGTCCTGCAGGCCCCGTCCCGAGCCTGGCAGTGGGTTTCTTTTGCTCTTTTTTCTCTAGTTCCTTAACCTGTGAACTTCTGTTGTAGCCTTGAGATGTTTAGGTATTGAAAGATACACGTTTCCCTCTGTTACTGCTTTTACTGCATCTCCTAAGCTTCGGTATGTTTTCATTGGCTGCAAAGTACAGTACTGTATTTTATAATTTTCCTAATGCTTTTCTTCTTTAACCCATGGGTTACTGAAGAGTATATTGCATGTGTGTGTTGGTTTTTTTTGGTACCGGGCATCAAACTCGGGACCTTGCACTTGCGAGGCAGGCGGCAGCACCACTGAGCTAAATCACTGGCCCGAAGAGTATATTGCTTACTTGCGACATATTTTTTAAATTTCCAGTTTTCCTTTTGCCATTGATTTCTGGCTTTGTTCCATTATGGTCAGAGAAAATATTTCATATGAATTTCAGCCCTTTAAGTTGTATAGAGAATTTTATTAATAGGGGACATTGGCCTGTGATTTTCTTGGTGTCTTTGGCATTGGTATCACAGCAACACTGAGCTAGAAGGAGTTAGGAAATGTACCCCATATAGTGTTTTGGGGGTTTTGTTTGTGGTTTTTGTTGTTATTTTTGTTTGTTTGTTTGAACTCAGGACCTTGCGCTTACCAGGCAAGCACCCATGCCACTGAGCTAAATCCCTGGCCCTGTTTGGGTTTTTTTTTGGTGCCAGGGATCGAACTTGGGTCCTTGTGGTTGCGAGGCAGGCAGCAGAACCACTGAGCTAAGTCCCCAGCCCCCCTGTTTGTTTGGGGTTTTTTGAGACAAGATCTCTCACTATGTGTCCAGGCTGGCCTTGACCTTGAAGAGATCCTCCTGCCTTGGCTTCCCGAGTGCTGGGATCACAGGTGTGTGCCACCACACCCAGGCTCACACACAGTGTTTTTGGAAGAGATCGAGAAGGATTAGTGTTAATTCTCTTTCAGATGTTTGGTAGAATTCACCATTGAAATATCCAGTACTGAGGGCCGGGGATTTACCTCAGTGGTTCCGCCACCTGCCTCGCAATCACAAGGTCCTGAGTACGATCCCCAGTACCCTCCCCTCAAAAAAGTACTGTGCTATTCTGTATTGAGAAGTTTTTCAATTCCGTTTTTTTTTTTTTTTACAAGTAGGGTATTGAGCCAGGCATGATGGCACATACCTCTAATCCTAGCACTTAGGAGGCTGAGGCAGGAGGATTGCGGTGAGTTGAAGGCCAGCCTGGGCTACAGATTGAGATGCTATCAAAAAAAAAAAGGAAAATAAGCCTCCCAAGTGCTGAGGTCACAGGTGTGCCCCCCCCATGTCTGGCCATATAGCTCAGTTTGAAGACCCTGGCTTCAATCCCAAATACTGCCCCCCAAAATATAATATCACAAATTAAAATACTCTCGTTAAACAAAAAGGCAAATGTGTTTAGCATCTCACTCCTCGAGACTGATTGAATAGCTCAGTGAGCACCATTCTAGATGACTTCTTGATATCTCTGTACATAAATGCATTTTTAAAATTAAAAAACTGGCTATATGTAGTTTTTTTTTTTTTGGTACTGGGGATCGAACTCAGGGCCTTGTGCTTGTGAGGCAGGCGGCAAACCACTGAGCTACATCCCTGGCCTATATGTACTATTTTGTAACCTATTGTTCAATCGACAGAGTGTACTGGCCACCTTTTCACCTCAGTGAGTTCATATGGACATCATGATCTCTCCCTTTTCTTTTTCCTTCACACTGGAGATGAACTCTGAAGCTCTCTACAGCTGAGCCACATCCCCAGCCCTTTTGATCTTTTTGAGACATGGTCTCACTAGGTTGCCCAAGTGGGACTTGAACTCATGATCCTTCTGCCTCAGCCTCCCCCGGTGCCTTGCCTAGTCACGGTCTCCCTCCTGCTCTCCCAGCATCTGCATTGCATCCCACAGACTCGGGAAGCCGTGTGCAATCATCTTTCGGAGCTGACTTATGGTGATGAGCTCTGTGGCCGTCCGTGTGGCTGAGGTGTCATGGTTTTGTTCCTCTCCACAGCGGCTGCTGCGGCCTCGTCATGTCCCGTGCTCTCTGCGTGGTCCACTGTGCGGCCAGCGTGCAGGCTCCTGGGGTTGCTGACCCTGACCCTTCCTCCCCAGAGTGGGACAGCTGGGTCCTGTGGTGGTGGAGAAGGTTCTTTTTCCCTGTATCCTCACCAGCATTTTCTTTTCCAGTATTGGATTGAACCCAGGGCCTTCCTACCGTGCTACATCCTCAGTCCTTTAATTTTATTTTTCATTTTGACACATTCTCACTAAGTTACCTAGGCTGGATAACTTGTAATCCTCCTGCCTCAGCCTCCAGAGTGCTGGGATTACAGGCGAGCGCAACACCACCTGGCTGGTTTTTTAAAATTCGGACTGGAGTAAGGTGAAATCTCAGAATAGTTTTTATTTGCAGTTCTCTAATGGCTAAAGATGTTGAACTTGTTTTCTTTTGGCATACTTACTGGCCACTTGTTTTTTTTTTTTTTTTGGTACCAGGGATTGAACTTGGGTCCTTGCACTTGCGAGGCAGGCAGCAGAACCACTGAGCTAAATCCCCGGGCATGCCACTTGTTCTTTTGAGAAATTTCTGTTCAGTTCAGTTGCCCACTTACTGATTTGGCTGTTTGACTTTTTTGAGTTCTTTATATATGCTAGGTACTGATCCTGTGCTACAAGGGTCACTGGCAAAGGCTCTCCCATCCCGTGGGCTGTTTCTTCAGTGTTTCCTTCATTGTGCAGAAACTGGAATCTGATGTTGTCCTATTTATTAATTCTTGCTATTATCCTTTGCTACTGGAGTCCTAGTCAGGAAGTCTCTGCCTGTCCCCGTGGCTTCCAGTGTTTCCCTCCGTTTTCTTCTAGCAGTTTCAGAGTTTCCGGTGCTCTACGTAGGTCTCCAATCCATTTCCAGTTGACATTTTGTACAGGGAGAGGGACAGGGATGTGGTCCTAGTCTTCTCATGTGGATGTCCACTTTTCCCAGCTCCCTTTGTTACAGAGGCTGTCTTTTCCTGGATTTGTATTTTTGAGTGCTTTTTCAAGAATCAGATGGCTGGCAGGGCACGGTGACACACACCTGTAATCCTTGTGGCTCAAGAGGCTGAGGCAGGAAGACTGCAAATTCAACCCCAGCCTAGGCAATTTAACAAAACCCTATCTCAAAATAAAAAATTTTAAAGGAGGAGAGGTAGGGATGTAGCTCATTGCAACCCCCCTAGTTCTAACCCCAGTACCACTGAAAATTAAGAAAAGAAAAGAAAAATAAATAAATAAGACAGAAAGGGAGAAAGCGAGAATCAGATGGGATAAAAATAATTGAAGAAGAAATAATTTCCAAAATCTTTCCACACTGTAGATGACTACAGACCTGCATGCAGATACAGGAATCACAGTACAGAATCATGAAAAAACTATGCCAAAGCATCATAGCCAAACTGTTCCAAACCAGTGAAAAAGGTGTTACATACAGAGAAATAAACTTACCGACATCACAGGATACAAAATCAACATTTACAAATCAGCAGCTGTTCCATACACCAATAAGGAGCTGGCAGAGGGAAAAAAATCTCTCTCTGGGTTTCAGTTTGGATATGCTATGCCTACAAGTTCTTTTCTCCTTTCACACCTACTCTATTGTTTATCCCACTCAGTTTTTGTCTGACACTAATTTTCACCTATAGTTCACCTTGGGTCCTTTAAATAGAGTATATTCCTAAATTTTTTTTTTTTTTTTGAGAGAAGGCCTCTATATGTAGTTCAGGCAGGCTGGAACCCTTATGTAGCCCAAGCTGGTCTTGAACTCATGGTGATCCTTTTGCCTCAGCCTCCCTCCCAAGTGCTGGGACATAGGTGTGTGGCACCTACTTTTTTTTTTTGGTACCAGGGATCAAACTCAGGACCTTGCATTTGCGAGGAAGTGGTAGCACCACTGAGCTAAATCCCCGGCCTCTTAACTTTTCAAATATATGGAACGAAATCACAATACAGTCACTATAATGTCTTCTGGTGGGTGTACATTCCACGTCAGTTCTAGGATACTCTCAGTTGAATGATTGTTCTCATTTAAGAATTACAGTTTTCCTGCCTCTTTTGTGATACCTCTGGCTATTCTGTGTGTGTGTGTGTGTGTGTGTGTGTGGTACTGGGGATTGAACCCAGGGCCTTCGCACTATGCTACAGCCCCAGCCTTTTTTATTTTTTGAGAGAGGGTCTCACTAAGTCACTAAGTTGTCTGGGCTGGGCTCAAACTTGCCATCCTCCTGCCTCAGCCTCCCAGAGTAATGATTCTACAAATGCATGGTCACACCCAGCTCCCTCTGTGTACTTTTTAAAAATATTCTTAATTTTATTTTATTGGTACATTTTAGGTATACAATATAATGACATTCATCATTGGAAATTTGCACCTTCACATAATCTCTCTTGGTTCTTATTTTTCCCCCTTGCCCTCCCTTCCCTTCAACCCCTCCGTCCACTCTGTGTACTTTTTAATGGGTCTGTTTTTAATGTTGCTAAGTATTTTAAGTTGCACGTTGTTGGGAGCTAGGTATTTCTGCATGCCGTACTTCTTCTTGATCTTGTTCAGGAATCCATTCAGTTACATAAAAACAGTTTGGTCTTTTCTGACCTTGTTCGGTGGGCCTGGAGGAGGAGGACAGAACGATGGGAGGCATTAGGAGGACAAGACGCCCTGGTCCCTGCACCGAGGACCGCAGCCTGGATAAGGAGCAGTCAAAACTCCAACAGGGCTGCTGGCCATGCCCTGAACACCTGTAGACCCAGCTACTCGAAAAGCTGAGGCAGGAGGATCACACTTCTGAGGCCAGCCTGGGCAGCTGGAGAGACTCTGTCTCAAAATAAAAAATGAAAAGGCGTTGTAGCTCAGTGGTACACTAGCACCACAATAAATAAATAGAGAAATAAGGACATAAATAAAAATGCAAGAGGGTTGTGGATGTAGCTCGTCACTCCCTGGGTTGAATATTCAGTACTGAAAAAGAGAAAGGGAAGGAGGGGGAAAAATGCACAGGGTAGTGCCGACCCCTGGCCTTCCTGCAGGCATGGAGGTAGAGGCTCCCGTCTGTGCTCAGGGTACTGGAAGGGACCACCTGTCTCCTGGCTGGTCAGGCCGCACCGCTCAGGGCCTCAGGAACTGGGGTCGCTGCCCCTGCCCTGCTAGGCAGCCAGTGCCCAGCAGGGCTTGGCTGTGCGCACCCCACAGCGGCCGGGCTTGAACAGGCCAACCTGGGCTGAGGACCGGAGGGCTGGCCTGGTTCAGATGCCACAACCTTGGTCCTTTGGTGGCTTCCATCCCAGCCTGGAGGTTTTCTGATCATTTGTGATTTTAGTGTGGGGAGGAGGTTCTGGTTCAAGAGTTGCACATATACAAACGTAAGAAGACACATGATGTCTCGTTCGCTGTGCCTCACTTCTCCCAGGGTAAAACGATGCCCATCACGAACACCGACAGCGGTGCTCCCCACCAGCCTTGTTCTCCTTGCTCCAGTGTGTGCCACTTTAATGATTAGACCAAGAAAGCTGTGGCCCAGGGTCACCAAACTTCCTGGGACCCACAGGGCTTCCATCCTCTGCCCCACCCGTGTCCCCTAGACCGCAAGGAGGCCAGCAGGAGGCACTCAAGGTTGAGAGCATGGTGCGTGCTAGGCTCCTCCCCCGTGTGTCACAAGCGCGGAGACTGAGGGCCAGGGAGGGCAGGGGGCTGGAGGCGGCTGGGGGCTGCCCGCCTCTGGCCCTGAGCACAGCCAAAGGCCGGTCAACACACCCTCCTGGAGGCCTAGAGCCTGGGCTCACTCAGCGCGGGGCCCATGCCCTAATCTCGCTACTGGGGAGGCTGAGGCCGAAGATCCCAACTTCGAGGCCAGCCCTCACAATGAAGAGACCCTGTCTCAAAATAAAAGGACGAGTGTGGGTCAGAGGTAGGGCGGTCTGCGCTTGACCTCCAGTACCGAAGATTTAAAAACAGCCAGGGAGGAAGGTGTCGCACCCCGCGCTCCAGCCGCAACCAGCGAGGCGGGGCCGGGATCAGCATCCCACCCCCGCGCAGGCCGCCCGGGGCAACCAGCGAGGCGGGGCCGGCATCGGCATCCGACACTCGGACCCCTGCGCAGGTCGCCCGGGGCACGCCGGGAAACTGTGCCCAGCGCAGCCCCACCCGCCGTGCAGCTCTCCACCGCCCCCTGGCGCCGCGCGTGGGACCCTGCAGGGCGGGCCCCCGCCCCCGCGCCCCCCATCCCGCCTCGCGATTGGTCGCTCCCTAAGGCCCGGGCGGCCGCCTGCTGCCACCGGATTGGCTGCGCACCGCCGGGTCCCCGCCCACCACCGAGGTCCTTTGATCACGCGCCCGCGGGCTCTTCCGGGGCCTGGGAGCCAACCCAGGGCGTTGCTGTCCTCGGGCTGTCACGGCGGGAGGTAAGGCATGGCCGGGTTGGATGGGCGGAGAGCGCCGGCGCGGCCCACGCCTGGGGATGCTGGGACCCCAGGATGCCCAGGCGCGGGGCGGCCCCGACGCCCCCGCCCCGGCTGAACCTCCCGCGCCGTGGGAACCGCCTGCCGCCCGCCGCCGCCGCCGGCCAGCCAGCCAGCATCCTCGGAGCGGCCCGATGCCCTCCCTCCTGGCCCTCCGCCTGGCCGGTGAGCTGCCACCGGGCACCGGCCGGCCAGAGCCCCATGGACGTGGGGCAGGCAGCTTGTACCTTGCCTCTGCCAGAGATCCTGGCGAACCCGGGTCAGGGCCCTGGCCAGGTCCGTGCAGCCGCCCCAGGGTGATCTCCGCTTCTGTCCCTGAGGCTGACCCTCTCCCCCGCCGCCTGTCAGCCCAGGCCAGCAGGGGAGGACCTGGGTGGAGCTCCGGGTGGGGACCAGAGCAAGGTGACATCATCTGGAAGAGACAGACCATCTCTTCCTACTCGTCCACACTGGCACTTGAGGCCGACTGGGTTCAGGAGCTGCAGGCTGGCTACAACAACAACAGTCACAACAACAGTTGGTGACACCCGGGACGAGGCGGACGCAGCGCCCAGGCATGAGGCCCATAGCTGAGTGTAGGGACCGGACTAGGATAGCGGCGGCCCTTCCGATGCTCCCACCTCGCCCGGGGCGCGTGCAGGACCCTCTGTGCTTACCAGTTTGCGCCCCTGGATCGGAGCCCTGGGCAGGAGCAGCACTAAGTCTTTTCCTGGTAGCTGAGTCTTGCAGGAGCGGGGACCCACCCGGATTTAGGGCAGGAACTGGGAAGGAGCCAGGCCCGGACCTGGGTCCTCTCTGGTGCCTTTTTCACCCAGGATTTGCCCAGCTCTGGAGGGTGCCTCTGCCAGGTGTTTGACTTGGGACGGTTTTTATCGACCTCCAGCTCTGGGGAGGGACCCCGAGACGGGCTGTCGCTGCAGGTGCAGTGGGTAACCGCTCCCCCCTGCAGGGCTCCTGGTGGAGGCCCCCCCGAGGCACCGCTGCCAATGCTGACCTCCCAGCCCTCCCTCCGGCCACCGATGTCATGAGGAACACCACGGTGCCCAGTGCCCCCCGGGCCGACAGCGACTCCATGGTGGGCTATGTGTTGGGGCCTTTCTTCCTCATCACCCTGGTCGGGGTGGTGGTGGCTGTGGTAAGGAGCCCCCCATTTACATCCAGACACCACACCTTGGCCCAAGTAGGGCCTGGGCAGGCCTGGCCAGTGCACACGGCTGCCACCTGTCCTGGAAGGGTGGGGGACCTTACCTGGGGCAGCTTCCACAGTGCCGTTTCTGTTCCAGGTAATGTATGTCCAGAAGAGAAAGCGGTGAGTGTCCCTGGTCCTCTGCTGGCATGTGATGCCCCTTGGCCTTCGCCTGTCTTGTCCCGCCTCGACCAGGGAAGTCCCTCTGTCCGCCGTGTCCCTGCCTGGGGGAGGGGAGGCCAGGCCGTCAGGCGTCTGATGCCCCCACCCTGTCCCCCAGGGTGGACAGGCTGCGCCATCACCTGCTCCCCATGTACAGCTATGACCCGACCGAGGAGCTGCACGAGGCCGAGCAGGAACTCCTCTCAGATGTGGGAGACCCCAAGGTGAGCGTGGACACCAGGTGGGCCGGTGGGGTTCCCCAGTGGGCTCTGCTGACCCGAGGCCTGGCTCCCTATCCCCCAGGTGGTGCATGGCTGGCAGAGTGGCTACCAGCACAAGCGGATGCCCTTGCTGGACGTCAGGACGTGATTTAGGCCCCTGGCCCCACTGCCAGAGGGTCCTGCAGCTGCTTTCTCTCCCACTGTGCCACCTTGCTCCCCTCTCCTGGGGACCGAGCCCCCCAACCCCTGCACTGATGGCTTCCCTTCCGGGTGAGGGACAGGTCAGCTCTGCTTCCTCTAGCCAGCCTGGACCTTTTGTCCATCTCCAGGGCTTTCAGCTGTTTCCATGGTGATGGTGCCTGAATGTATAGTATTCAGAATATATAGTATTTTGTAAATAAAATGTTTTGTGGCTAAGAACCTGGCTGACTTCTCAAGAGGTGCCTAAGCCACCTCTCCACTGACCTGCAGGGGCCACTTTCTCCCACATCACGAGTGATGGGCAGGGGCAGCACCCACCCTAAGCTGGGGCACACACAGCACAAGACTGCACTCCAGAAAAGGATATTTTTTTATTCAAGTAACTGCAAATAGGAAACCAGAGGGGGAGCCCCAGGCTGGGACGAATAATGGCCACCCTCCCCAATGGAACAGGGGGAGCTGGTGGCCCCTACACCCCTTCCATGGTCGACACGGGCCCCTCCTCACTCTGCTGCAGCATCCTAGGGGCAGGGCCCCACCTTCCCTGGGACTGGGGTACTCCACACCCAGCCTGGGCGCCCCAGCCCGCCCCCGGGTCTTGGGGAGGGAACAGGGCAGAAAGGGCAGGTGATGAGGATGAACATCTGGCGCTGGTGGCAGCAGCAATGACAAATGTCTAAGAATGAAACATTGAACAAAAACCAACACAACTGTCCAGAGGTAGTTTGTGAACAGAGGAAAGATGGAACCAGAACCTTGGGGGCGGGGTGGGGGGGAGCTCCGGGACCAGCACCCCGTGGATCAGCAGCCGCAGTGGAGGGTGGGTGTGGGCTGGGGCCTGGCCGCAGGCTGCTGCCACAGGAGACCTGGGGCTCTCGGGCAGGTGCTCTCGTTTTGGGGGGACAGGGGGGCCCAGAGGACGGGGCCTCTGGCTCCTGCTCCTTCCTGTACCCCAAGGGGGTGTGTGAGCCCTACCAGGTGACAGACCATTTGGCAGGGGCGTTGGGTGACTGAGCACCCGTCCACTGGCTTCGAAGGCTGCTGCCAGCACAGTGGGGTGCAGCATGTCAATGAGATGGGGCTGGGGCCCCTTAAGGCCAGGGGAGCCCTCCCAGACCCCCAGGGGAAGCAGAGGGATCAGGCGGAGGAGCAGAAGGGGCCCTAAACCAAGAGCACGGAGAGCAGAGGGAAGCGGGAGGCGGTGCGGCTAAGCGGACGTCAGCCTTGTCCGGGAGGGCGGCGGGCTGCTGGGGTCGGGCCTGAGGTGCTGCTCCGGACAGGCCGGCGGCTGGTGTGCGGTGTAGTGTGCGGGACAGGGCAGGACGGTGCGGTGCGTGGGTGTCGGGCCTGGGGCGGGGCGGGGCCAAGCTGCCCGTCCCAGAAGGAAGCCGCTCATGGTCACTGCTCCTCCTCCGAGGACTCCTGCGAGATGCCCTCCTCCTCCTCCTTCTCCTGCGGGGGGCAGAGTGGACAGAGCTGGGCCCTCCTCCGCCTGTCGCCCCCGCCCCGCACGCCCCCACGCACAGAAGGGAGATGAGTCAGGGCTGAGTGTGTGGTGACTCAGCAACCTCCATGGCCGCACTTCATTCATAAAAATGCAGAATTTTAAAGGAGGGAAGAAACCACACAAGCTCTGCTCTCAGAGCCAGGAGCCAGGAGCCAGGCATGGGCCAGGGGCCCCTGGGCAGGAGGGCAGTGCCTGGCTGCACCCAGGGCCAGGCGCTTGGGCAGGGGCAGGGGGCCTCCACCAGGGGACCAGGTGCTGGTGGCCACAAGGGCAGGTGCTGGGGCCAGGCGGCCCGGGGCTGACCGCTGGGCTCGCTCACTGGGCGGGGAACGTGGGGTCACCACAGGGCCCCAGGGCCCCACGGCCCCCGTGCCAGGTACAAACTCCAAAACAACTTGCTTCCTGTTACTCACGGGGGCGGCCTCCAGAATGGCTCCTCTGCAGTCCTTCCTCTGCCCAAGAGGACCCTCACAGGGCCAGGCCTTGCCCCTCTGGTCTCCCCACTCCCCTGAAGTCACACTGCACTACAGGGTGGAGGAAGCCGCACAGCCCTCCCGCCCTGCGCAGGTGGGGCAGGACCTAGCCTGGTTGCTGTCTGGGTCCCGGGCTGCCCCTTCCCCTCTGGGCCAGGACAGCAGCGCCCAGCCCTGCAGGGGGCACAAGCCAACAGCCCGGTCCACCCCAGCACTCAGGCAGGGCCCAGGCACCTACCAGTTTTTTGGGTCTGCCCCGTGGTTTCCTCCCTGGAGCCGTGGTAGTTTTCTAGAGGGTCAAAGAAACATGCCCAGGTCACAGGTGCTGCACAGGCTCAACTCCACCTGGTGCCCGTGCCCGGCAGGGATGGGGCGGCCCGCCCAGGTCCAGCCTCACGACTAGCCGGCCACATTCGCCCCCCACCCAAATACACCCCCCGCCCCCCTCCACCGTGACTGTGACTCAGAGGATATGAGTCGTGTCTTTAAAAAAAACAAAACAACTTCTCGGGGCTGAGGCCTCGGTGAGTCTGGCCCTCCCCGGCCCCACCCTTTAAGGCCCCAGGGACCCCAGGACAGAGGTCCAGAGCCCAGAGGTGCTGGAGGCGGTGGCAGAGGCCGGGTCCCCACGGCCTCACCATTCCCCAGGCCAGGAGCTGCACAAAGGGCTTCTGCCTTGTCACACACAGACGTGAGCGGCCCGCTGCGGTCACCCTGCCTTGGCCACCGGGCCCGGGGCCGCAGAGCTGAGGCCCCGGGGAAAGGAGAGGGGCCCCGGTTCAAGCCTCACCCGGATCTTGGCAGCACCCTTGTTTTTGCTCCCCTTCGGTCGGCCCCTCGGTCTCTTAGGCGTTGGCACTTCACTGGGCTCCTTCTGCAGGGACAGAGGGCAGTCAGGGACAGCTGCCGCTCCCCGGCCTTCGCCAGCGCTTGGCCCCAGCAGGGGACACAGGCCCACAGCCCGGTCCACCCCACCACTCAGGCAGGGGCACGGGCCCCTGGGGTCCCAGGCTCAGCAGCCGCCTCTGCAGAACCTCCGCTTGATTCCAGGGACAAAGCGATAGGAAACCAGGAGACCTCTAAGAAGGGGCTGGGCGTGGGAGCAGAAGACACTGTCAAGTGGCCTTGTCCACACTCCAGTTTGGCCACTTAACATGCTCAACGCTGGAGCCTTGCTTTCCTCGCCTATAAGGCTGTCGCAAAAATCCAATCACCGATGACTCCAGTGTCCAGGGACAGCCTTATTTGTCACCTGCCCCCATCAGATACATGCTGGAGGCTGCAGGGACCCCCGTCTTCACCCGCAATCCCAGTCCCGTCCAGGGAAGACGGATTCTGCCCAGAACACAGGGGCAGGGGTCCCCGCTCAACGCACTCCCGAAGCTTCAGCAAGCCCAAGGCAAAGTAAAAGGGGGCTGCATAACACATAGGAGCTGGGCAAGGAGAAGCCCCCAGCCCCACTCCCAGGGGCAGCCAAACACCAGCCCCTCCCAGCACCAGCTTCCTGAAGCTCCAGCTCCACCTGTCCTGTTCCCGGACCATGGAGGGGAGCACCAGGCTGAGGGTCACTGCCACACCCCCGACACTGTTTCCTGGGCCACCCAGTCTTAGCCCAGCCCAGGAGCAGTCTGGCCTGGGACCCCAAGGTGGCAAACCACAGAAGATGCACGACCAGTGTGCAGAGACTTCTGGCTCTGCTCTTCAATCCCACTATGTGGCCCAAGCTGACCTTGAAGTCGGTGACCCTCCTGGTCAGCTCCCCAGTGCAGGAACGCAGGTGTGCAGCCTGACACCTGGGCAGTGCGGATCAACTTTCATGGCAATGGACAAGAGCAGCGATGTGCGCTCGTGAGTCTTATGATTAATATACAGGTACTAACATAAATCTGCCTACCTACCGACTGCAAGGGACGTAGCTCAGCAGCAACAAGAGCGCCTGCCTAGCATACACAAGGCCCTGGGTTCTATCCCTAGCACCCCTGAAAAGTAGTAGTAAACATGTATGCATGGTGTTTTTACAGTACTGGGGCTGGAATGTAGGGCCTTTTGCACTGAGCTACATTCCCCAGCTCTTTGTATTTATTTATCTGTTTTTGGTACTGGGGATTGAAGTTGGGTCCTTGTGCTTTCGAGGCAGGCAGTGGAACCACTGAGCTAAATCCCTTACCATGTATTTCATTTGAGACAGGGTCTCACTAAGTCACCCAGTCTGGGCTTCAATTTGTGAACCTCCTGCCTCAGCCTATCAAAGAGTGCTGGGATTAAAGGCATGTGTCACCATGCCCAGCTTTTTCAACCTTTGTTAGTTCATCTTTACTATCAAAAATAAAATCAGCCAGAGATTTAGCTCAGTGGTTCTGCCGTCTGCCTCGCAAGCACAAGGTCTCAAATTCTATCCCCGGTAGCAAAAAAAAAAAGACTCAAAAAAATAAATAAAGAAGAAAAATAAAATCATAGCCAGGCACAGACTGAAGCAGCCAGGGCAGACCCTCACTCAAAAGTTGAAATAAATTTTTAATAAAAATTGCGGGCAGGCTGAACTACAGAGCGAGACCCTCTCTCAAAAAAACCAAAACAACAAAAAGGGCTTGAAATGTAGCTCAGTGTCAAAGCCTTGGGTTCAATCCCTAATACTGCAAGTAAACAAATGAGTGAAGGGAACCAGGAGTCCTAAGTGACCGGGAAGCTGAGGGTGGTGGCTTCCCACAAGCAGACCCCCAAGTTGCTCCATGGCCTGGCCTCAGCCCCCACTCCTGGGCAGGCAAGGTGTGGGGAGAGGAACTCTGTCCCCCTGAGTTCACGCCTGTCCACACCTTCTCAGTTGCCAGGCATGTCCCTAGCCCAAAAGGTAAACTGAGGCAAGTCCGGGACACCCACCTGACTCCCGACCAGCGCTGTCCCAGGACTCACCGGACTCACTGGTGGCTGTTTGCGTGGCCTGCCCCGGCCTCGCTTCTCAGTGCCGTCCTTCTCCTGCTTGGAGGCCAGGGGCTGGCTGGACTTCGAGCTTGACTCGCTCATCTTCCTTCTCAACGGGGCAGTTGGAGCGCCGGCTGGGATGCTGCAGAGAAGAAGTGGTTTCAACACGGGCACCCACAGGCCCAGGTGTCGAACCCCCAGGGCCTGGACTCTGGCTTGCACCCCCTGAGCACTGCCACAGGGCGGGGCGGCCGGCAGTTGGCCTAATCAGCTCCTTATCTCCTCCGCAGAAGGGCGCTTTGTTGTCCTGCCCAACGCCACCCCCAGAGGGGCCAGGGTGGTACAGGGTGCACAGCCAGCCCAGGCTGGGCTCGGGGTATGGCTGCCAGGGTCCAACACATCACTGGACCCCCTCTGAGCCAGCTGCTGCATTCTCTCCAGAGAAAACTATGCCAGGCAGCTTGGAGGGGGACCAGGGACCTCGGGATCTGCAGCTCCTGAGCTGATGGCACCACACGCCTGCCACGCTCAAACTCAGTACCCAATGCCAGGGGCAGGTGGCACAGGTGGCGGGGTCAGGCCCACCTGAGGCTCTTTCCTAGGGCAAATCCTTGACTCAGGTGGGGATAATTGAGGGCAAGCAGGGAGATGGCTGACTCTGCAGAGGAGGGGGGGGGGCTTAGAGAGTCCTCTTCCCCACCTGAGGTCAGGGGTGACTTCCTACTTTATTTTTTTGGTACCTGGGATCGAACTCAGGTCCTTGTGCTTGTGCAGGAGGCAGCGAAACCACTGAGCTAAATCCCCGCCCCTGGGGCGATTTCTTTTCAGGATCACTTGCAGGAGGACCAGGGGTTCAGAAACGGTCCTTCCACAGACCCTGGCTGGCTCCCCAGGGGCCTGGGAAGGTTCTTTTCTAGCTCTCTACTAAGGACTGATGGGTGCAGCGCTGCAAGGAGTGCCTGCAGTCTACTTGGGAGGCTCTCTCTTCTGGAGACTTAGAAAGGACACCTAACCAAGTGGAATCCCAGCACCCAGGAGGCTGAGGCAGAAGGATCTCCAGGCGTTTGAGACCAGCCTGGATCATATAGCAAACCCATCTCAAAAAGACAAAAAAAGGGACGTGGAGGGTCTTTCATTTCTCCAATCGGTCCCCTTAATCTTAGTTATTTCTCCAAGTTTCAGGAAGGTGGGATCTGGCAGGCCTAAGGCCCCACACTTCTCTGGAGGCCACAGCACTCCCACCCCTCAAACTCCATCATCTATCTGTAACGGGGGTGCCTGCCTCAGCAACCCCCAGGCCTCTTCATACTGCGCAGGGACCAGGCTGGACTTGTTTCATAAAACTTCAATGACAGATATCTTTGCTCTCATCGAGACGGGATCTAGACCATTTAAAGACAACTTTTCTTTCCTTTTTGCCAATTGAGGCAATTTCCAATTTTAACCCAATGACAGAAAAACATTTTGGAAACTCGTGATTTTTGGAGGGCTCCCAGCCCCCATCCTCAAGCACCCAGAGACCCTCCAGACGGCGGGACTTTGCTATTTGATAAGATTTCAGCCTCGGAGACCCTTTCAGCAGGGTGGTTGCTGATTTATCCTGCTCCATCATTAGTGGCTTGGTCTCCTCTGTAATTACAGGCAGTGATTAGAATCTTCTATTACACCACAGGTCCCCCTTCAAACTAAACATCAAAATTAATCAGCTAAATGAGCGCTGACCTCACAAGAGTGCCCACCTCGGGTCCCTCAAGGGGGTTCCAGTTGAGCAGGGCCCGGTGCTGGGGATCCTGGCGGGTTGTCGGGGAGCTCTTGTGCCCTCTGGTGCTGCCCCCACCCCTCGCTGCTGGGGACCCACCCGCCCCTCCTCTCGCCAGGCCCCCACGGTACCGAGGCCCAGGCCTGGTCCAGGGGAGAGGCCAAGAAGCGCTTGTCTCTCCCACCTGTTTCTGGACATCAGGGAGGCCTGGCTCGCAAGAAGCCACATTTAGAGCCCAACCCCAAGCCCTCAGCGTGTATTAAGCCCGTGTAGGCCTTACGTCGGCCACGGTGCACACACGTGGCCCTCAGCCTCACAGGCGTCTAACACCCGCAGGCGTGACCTGGCGGGGGAGAGCAAACTATGAGCGGCCTCATTATTAAAAAAAAAAAAAAGTGGCCCAGAGAAGCCTGATGCGCGGCCCAAGGTCACACAGCAAGTTGGTGAGGCGGATGGGGCGGGCTGCCGGGGCCCCTCCCGCCCGCCACTCCGGTCACCGGCGCGCCGGCTCGGACCCGAGGCCGGCGACGCTGCAGCGCCCGGGCGACCGTTGCAGGGCGGCGGGGGGAGGGGCGCGGCCGCCTGCAGGCGCGGGAAAGCGGCGCACCCCGACCGCATGCCCCGCCACGCGGGTGCACCGGCCCCACTTCCTGCCAGAGGGGGCACCCAAGGCGCCTCGGGCAGGGACCCGGCGCCCGGAGCCCCCCGCCCCCGGGAAGCGAGCCCTAGGGAAAAACCCCAGAAACGGGGCGTCAGGGGCGAGTTCCGACAGCGCCCGGCGAAGCCGCGAAACCAGTTTGTGGGGGCGGAGGGCAGGCCCGGCCGGGGGCCCGGAGGCGCGGGCCGGGCCGGAGGTGGGGTCGCGGGGCGGCCGAGCCCTCCGGCGCCCCCGCACTTCGGAACTTCTCTCGCGGCGGCCGAGGCGGCGGGGGCGCCCGGCCGGGCCGGGCCTGGCCCAGGAGCGGAGCGAAGCGGAACGGCGGCCGCGCG